TCCTTAAACTTATTTTTTCCCTCAGGATCCCTTCCCACTTTTAAAACATATAGAGAACTCCAAAAGAGTTTGTTTGGGTGGGTTGTATTTATCAGTACTGATCATTTTAAAAATTAAAAAAAACCTGACACATTCACTGCTGTTAGCACTCATCAGAATTGTTGGGTGGGAATTTAATATTACAGATAATCCACAACTTAAAACTGGCCATTTAACAACATAAGTGCCATATTTGTATGAAATACAAGGCCATATTTACAATGGTCACAAAGACAGTTGTAAATGATGTCCACCCCCATGGACACATTATTGCATAATGTCATGTGCTTGACAACTGGTAACCTTGTTGTGGTGTTTGACAGCCACATGAATGTAATCCACAATGTCTTCTGTCAGTTTCCGACAATTAACATCTATTCAAATTAGTGATTTGCACTTATGTACACTGCAATTTTTTTTAACAACCCCGATGTTTGCTTAACCATCATTTGCAAAACTGACACCTTGGCTTATGACTGTAACAACCTGTGACTAGATTTCTGATCCCAACTGTGGTTATAAATCTAGGGCTACCTGTATATAGGATGGCAGGTAGTTTTAATTTTATGGAATATTGAGAGTCCCCTAATCATCCTTGTTGCTCTTCCCTGCACTCTTTCAATATCTTTTCTATATCATGGTAATCAAAACTGGATGCAATATTCCAATTATAGTCGTACCAGGGCATCATAAAGCACTATTAATGAAATGTACAGTATTAAACTAAGGGATGCAGTAAACGTGGATATTATTTAACACCATTTTAATATCAGACTCATCCTGAACCTGCTGGCCTTTTATAAAGCCTTAAAATAGTTAATTACTTTGTTGATTGCTCTTTTCCCTCAGCTGCTAAATATATTATTTATAACTTTGACATATTTTAAATCTTGCTTTTAAATATTGTTAGATCCACCACCTCAAGTCATGAACTTGAAGTGGCTATACAAATTCAATCAATCAATCAATCAATCAATCAATCAATCTCAGGTTATGTTAGGAGTCTTGCTTTACACATGGTTAAAATCAATAAGCAGGGAACTTTGGATTGTGTGACCATATTATTTTCATATTCTGTTATAATCCTTTAACTTTTTTCTTCACTTCATAGCTTTGATCTTTCTTTTTCTACTGAGACTTTTCCTACTGATTTCAAATGTGTTTTGGTTTGTCATTCTCTCACACACGCTTCTTAAATCTTATTTCAATCTTCCTTTGCAATTTAATTACCTTCCAATATCCCTCCATCCACTTGTTTCTTAACTTTTGGAATAAGCTGATTACGCTCAATATCTCAAGTGCTTTCCTTTTAATTCTTGTTTGATTTATCCCCATCCGTTCTCTTGAGCTTTATTTTCTTTTGCATTCAAAGCATATTGCTCTGTTCCCTTGTTTGGTTTCATCTTCCACTTGTAATACTCTTTTTCTTCCCTTTCCTTTCTCCACCATTGCCTGATCCAATGTTGTATTTTCCAGATTCCTGTACCTATTTTGCAATTCTTCTGGCACAATTTAAAGCAAAAAATGAGCTGAGTATAATAACTAAGCTGATGAAAATATGTTGGATTCTACTTCTGTAAAGATATTGAAAATATAGGGTGCACCTGGGAATTCATGGGATTGAGCACAAATTCCTAAACACTGCTTTCTGGCATCTATTGATCAAGAAGATTTAGGAATTACACACAACCATCAATCCTAAGCCTTTTAACCAACAAAAAGGCTTAGAATGGTCATATGCGGTGAGGGATCATACCGGTTTAACAACCGGTTTGCTGATATGCCTGATGTGTGCTGCGTGTGCATGCACAGTTCTCAGGAAAACAGCTGAGGTGTGGCAATCCACTCTGCCGTGCCTATCAGCTGGGCTAAAAGCAAGGAAATATAGGTGGGTTTAGCCCATGGGTGGTTTGGCGGGCCCACCGTAAGGTCGGAGCAAACTGGTTCTCTCTCAGCTGATCTTCGGAGCTACCAGTTCATTGGAACTAAGCCAAACCAGTAGAATCCCACCAGTGGCAGGTTCCGTGCAGTATGGCCCGGGACGGCCATACCGGTAGTAGCTGGGAGCAGCGGCCACAGTACCGGTACGGTGGCTCATTTGGCCCACCTACCCGCCAGCATTCCATGGCTGTTTATAACGCGAATGGCCAATTGTGCATGTGCGCACAGCTTGCATGCCTGTCTAGGACAGCTGGCTCCATGCGCAGCGTACCAGCTGCGATGGGGTCCAGAACCCACCACTGAATCCCACCCCTGGGACTCATATGGTTATACTCTCTCCCTTCCAGAGCAGTTCATCTTATTATGGTGATTAAAGCCATGTTCACCAAAGACTGATCCCTTAGTCAGGTTACAATGGATCCAGAGAATTTGTATCCTCTTGGATCCTCATCATGATGGACCACAGCTACAATCACTTCTAGGTTTGACCTTTTATTTCTCACTCATGTGCACATACCCTATTGGGAAACATGGATTTCACACCGTCCCTTACTCTCTACCTGGGCTTTCCAATTAGCCCTATTTAAAGCATATAAGAAACACTGTCCTGCTTGACATCCGGAATTAATTAAAAACACATGCAAATCATCATCAATCCAACTCTAGGGTATGTCAGGTTCTGATGGAATGCATGGTAACCCAATGAATTCAAAGTGACAGCTAAAGGTTACCAGTTATAATGAAACTTTGCTCTCTCTGACACAAATACATACATCTCACTTACCCATATTTCTTTCATCTAGACTGCCAGGACTCTTGTCATTTCACAAGTTTGTAGCTGTCAGTGGTTTGGGGTTTGTACCATGTATTCAGTGCCCAGCCTTCTTTGCCTGTCTTCCGATGGCATTTTTCCTTTGATCCTAATTGACTTGGTTCCTTCTTATGTTACCTCCCAAAGGGATGTTTTTGACAAGATCCCTGGCTTTTGTCCTCTCTACATAGGTGCCTGCTCCATCTTCAGGTTATGATATCTTTATTCTCACATCCTCACACAGACTAGTTTCAAAATTTTATCCCATCAATTCAATGGAAAAGCCTAAAATAAACATCTGTGATTATTTTTTTAAAGAAAATTGTCCCATTCCACAGGACTTGAATGAGAGAGCGGGGGAGGAGAGGGAGAGGGAGTACAGAAGAAGATAATATATAGAGATCAGNGGAGGAGGAGGAGGAGGAGGCGTGGGACTGCAAGGTCCATTCTTCCTTGGCCGTGCAACATGGGCTTTGTGGGCCCTTGCTTGGTGGTGCAAGATGGGCTTCTCTGGACTTTGCACCTTTTGCAAACCCTGCTTGGAGGCTGCGTTCAACCCCCAGGGAGCCTCTCATTCCCACCGCCTCCTGTAATGGGCAAGGAACCCCAAATCTGCCTTCTAATGCTGGGGGGAGGGTTTGTCTCCAAATCTGGCAACTTTTAAGACTTGTGGACTTCAACTCCCAGAATCCCCTGTCTTTTTTTTTTTTAAAGCATTCTGACTGGGGGATTCTGGGAGTTGAAGTCCCTACATGGCTGGCTGGGGAATGTTGGGAATTGAAGTTCACAAGGCTTAAAGTTGCGAAGTTTGGAGAACTACTGGCACTCCCAGAATGCCTCAACCAGCACGTGTGGACTTCAACTCCCAGAATGCCCCAGCCACCATGTGTGGACTTCAAGTCCCAGAATGCCTCAACCAGCATGTGTGGGCTTCAACTCCCAGAATGCCTCAACCAGCATGTGTGGACTTCAACTCCCAGAATGCCCCAGCAACCATGTGTGGACTTCAACTCCCAGAATGCCTCAACCAGCACGTGTGGACTTCAACTCCCAGAATGCCTCAACCAGCATGTGTGGACTTCAACTTCCAGAATTCCCCAGCCACCATGTGTGGACTTCAACTCCCAGAATGCCTCAACCAGCACGTGTGGAATTCCCCAGCCACCATGTGTGGACTTCAACTCCCAGAATGCCCCAGCCACCATGTGTGGACTTCAATTCCCAGAATGCCTCAACCAGCATGTGTGGACTTCAACTCCCAGAATGCCTCAACCAGCACGTGTGGACTTCAACTCCCAGAATGCCCCAGCCCATTCTGGGAGTTGAAGTCCACATATCTTAAAGTTGCTGAGCTTGGGAAACGTGCTAATTCAGTGGTCTCCAAAACGAGCACCTTTAAGACATACGGACTTCAATTCCCAGAATTCCTCACTCAGCCATACTGAGAAGCATTGTTCTTGACCAATGACGGCTAACCTTTTTCTCCTCGCGTGCTGAAATAGCGCGCACATCTACCCACACCCATCATGCAATGCATTATGATGTGGGAATTCTGGGAGTTGAAGTCCATAAGGCTTAAAAGTTGCCCGATTTGGAGACACACCCCCCCCCCCAGCACTAGAAGGCAGATTTGGGGTTCCTAGCAATGTGCCCCTCCCATGCACATGTGTGCACAACCCCCATGCCTCCCACCCCCCCCATGCATGCACGTCTCCTGGAACCAAAAACAGGCCATTGGGGGGGGGCACTGCACCCCTTTTTGATCCTAGCAGGCCTCCCTGAAGCCTCATGAAACAAAAAATGAGGCACGGCACACCCCCATGCTCCCCCTGCACATGTGCACGCAACCCCCCACGCATATGCGCACGTCTCCATGCGCAGTAGCGACCCGAAAATCAGCTGGCCGGCGAGAGGCACGGGCACATGCTGAGTGGAGCTGAGTTGGGCAACAGCTCGTGTGTCCGCAGAGAGGGCCCCCCCCCCATGCCATCTGTGGCACGCGTGCCACAGCTCCGTCATCGCGGTTCCGGACCCTTCGCGCGATCCATCCTCTGCCCACTTGCAAAGACGCAGAGGCAGCACGAACGCACAAAGGTGATGCCCCATCTCAGCTTTCACACCTGGCCAAGCTGGTTGTGTGAATCCACGGTGGAGCCTTTGGGATTCTTGGAACGAAACCCGCAGCTTCTTCTCCGTGTGTGATTTGCAGGTATCGGAAGCTGGCCCTCAAGTATCACCCGCTGAAGAACAAGGAGCCCTGGGCTCCTGGGAAATTCAAGCAGCTGGCCGAAGCCTACGATGTTCTCAGCGACCGTAAGTAAAGCAAAGAAGACCACACAGAAAGAAATGTCCTTCTGGGTTCAGCTCCAAGTGGGGGAAAAAGACACTGGAGACATGGAGGCTGCTTGGAAAGATGGTTTATTGGTGGA